ACCAGACCCGAGTCGAAGTTCTCAGCCCAATGCTGAGAAGGAAGATAAGAAGCAGCGAGTGATCGATGGGCGGAGAGCGGCACTAGGATTCCTGGAGTCAATGGAGAAGTGCATGGGAGATATGGGGATCTGTAAGAAGTGCGCGAACCTGGCCCACGACGGCGACTGCAAGGACATTGAAGAGGCTGCTGGAAATGAGAAGGCGATGAAGGTGCTCCGTGAGCTACTCAGCAGTGACCCTGTTTCATCTGATGAAGACATGGGGGATACGGAGGAACCGTCCTCATCAACGTCCAAGGAAAGAAAGAAAGGGGGACAAGCAGGGAAAGAAACAATTGAGATGTACAGCTACACCATTAATTTGGTGGAGATGGCTGACACGGCTGAGGGAGGAGAACTACAATGTGGTGGCGTCGACCTCACCTACAACCCGTGCGGGGACAACAGGACATTCAAGAAGACGCTTGAGATGGGATGCGACACCATCCCGTGCTACATCCCGAAGTATGGCGATGTGAGTGATGTGCACTTGCCATGGGCGTATGCGTCCATCGTTGACCCCAAATACTTTCCCAAAGGTGCAATCCTTGAGCAGGTGGACGTGATGCAGCTTGGCAAGAGTGTCAATTTCTGCGTTGCTCCTTTCGACGGTGCCCCACTATGCAGGATTGGCGATGATCGCTCGGTATTTGCTACGAAAGACCAAGCAAACCAGCTATCTCATGACCTATGCCGAGTCCTTCGACACAAGATCGGCAATTGCCGAGGAAGTGCTTTCAGGTGCGACGAAGGTGGATGGGTCGACATTGATGCAGTCATTGACGACCGGAACAACGACATATTCCCACCATACACCACGAGAGCGAAACGATACATGGGCATCATGGAGGTGATCAAGTGGCAGGAATCCGGAAGCAAGAAATCGAGATTCCAGGTTCTGGCAGCAAGGTTTCCGAGCATCATGAACCCGAACGACACGAGGGCAGCCAGGGAGGAAATGACCAAGCTGGCGTGGATCGGGACGACATCGACAGGATGTTCAACAGATGCGATGGATGGTACAGACCTTGGTGCATCCGAGTCACAACCGGTCACAGTGATTTTGGATTCATGAGCTCATCCGCACTGGCGAATAGGTATTCCGCAAGAATGGGTGATACTCTCGGAGGAGCATTCCATGTGACGTATGTGGAAAACCTGCCAAGCATCGTACGCTGTGGGCTAGTCCCCGGCGGAATCGATGGCGGTAACAGGCTAGCACTGCACTTCGGGGCATTTGCTCCGTGGGATGAGATGAACGTGGCGACGAAGACAACGCTACGGAACGTGAGGAGAGGGGATCCGATTGCGATCATCTATATTCCCAGTGCAACCCTCGCGCGGTATGGGGCTGGAGTCGCGGCTAATGGGACTTTCATGGTCTTTGACGTGATCCCGTTCTATGAGGTCAAGTCCATTTGGATTGGCAAAAGCAATGGAGGGAAGCGCCTGGAGTACGCTGACATCAAGAGGGCGTACTCGAAGTGTGTGGAGAACGAGATCTGCCCTGGCTTTGTCAACTCTTCCCAAGAGTCGGCTGCGATGTTCCTCCAGAACGTCGCAAAGATCAGCGAGAGGATGCCGGAGACTGAGACAGGTGCCGATAATCTGCACTACATCGTTGACATGGTTAATCGTGCTTGCGAACTCTATCGAAACAACAAGATGGAAGAGTTCAACGCACAGGTCAACGAGGTCCGGGACGAAGTCAGCAAAGTCGTCATCCTGAATGATGAGACATGGGAAGGACTGAGGTGCCGGATATGTCCATCATGTGCGACCGCGATCCCCACCTGCTTCTGCTTATGCCTGGAGTGCGAGGCACAACTGATCTCCATCGGAAGATACTACATTCACATCAAATCCGATGACGAGGAGGACAACCAAAACCCCAACGTCTCTGGAGATGCCAGGCGTGCACAGGAAGAAGCTAACCACGATGCGGCAGCACAGGAGGATGAGGACGAAGCGGAGGAAGTTCCGGGAGAAGATGACGACATGGACACGCAAGGATATACATCCGGCTATGCGTCAGAAGAAGAAGACGGCGGTTGGCATTACCGCGACACCGATCTGACGTCACGGGACATTATAAGTTCCCAACGGATGGCGATCTGCCTTGACGAGCCGCGTGAGGCTCAGTACATGGCAGGATTTATCGCACTCCAGCTGTCCAAGATGTGGGGGATGTTTGAAGGTGGTGAGGAGAGAACGATGAATGCCGGACTCGAAGGGAATCCGGGCTGCCCTTATCACAATGATTTCAAGAGGTACCCCAACATCACTGAGCATGATCAGGAAGGTATACTTTTGCCATCAACAATAACGAAGATTTCTCAATCGGAGAATGTTCGGACAAGAGCCTTCCGATCGGTTGAGGAGCGTGACGAATATATTCGTATGATGGTGAACAAATGCGAGGGACTATACACATTCTACAAGCTGTGGATTGCAGCAAGAATCCTCGATGTCACCAAGGAAGAAATGAAGCTCCTGGTCAAGGACCGAGTGCACCCGGTGGGTGATATTATTTTCAGATGTTTTGCACTAGCTTTCAACTGCAAGTATATATCATTCGTGAGGGATGGCCTAAACCTTGGCAAGCATGGTTACACGGTCAACGTGAGCGCCATCATCTCGGCCGTCGACCCGAACAAATGCGACACACCCCTGCTGGATTGGTGCCTTCGGAAAGGGCACTGGTTGCCAGAGGACTACAACAAGAAGTGTGTCCGGGCACGAGAAGCCCAGAAGAACTTGGACGAGGAGTTCCGCCGACGTACCCATAGGCTGTCCATTGGGGACAGGTATGCTTCGTGAAGATGATGATTGCGGTACGATGTGGGCCAGTCCCCATCTGTTACTTGCGTCACATCGACACTGTTTCGGTGGAACGACTTATGTCATGATTTATATTCATGTGTCCAAGATGAATGGATGTGTACATGGTTACATATTCCGACGACTATGACGCTCTGGATATTCATGGATGGAACTATTACCTTATAGATGATATCTTTTCATTATTTATGTATTGTCCATGGTATCTGGAATGGCTATGATTTGCATTGATTACTCACCGATGTTTCTTTGCCGGAGATATGCAGACCGATCACAAGCGGGCGCGCATGGTGGACATTTGTGGCCAACCCATTTATGGATGACAGCTGCGCGATGCGCAAATGCGGCAGCTGGAATGTTCACTGGCGGTCAAGTGAAGTGGCCACAGTGTATTATATACACCTGCATATGGATGTGTGCTTCGATTGGAGGATGAATGTTTCACTTTTCGTACAATCGAACCCGGCATGTTTCACAGCGAATGAACGGTGTAGTGATAGCAAGTAAAAGAAATGGCACGACCAAAAAACAACGAACTAAACGATTCGTATTTGAAGCCGTGCCATAAGGTGGAACGTTTTTGGTTTTTTTGGATGTTTGGACCGCAATGAAGAAACAATGCGATCCCTAAAATGGGGGATGTTAAAAAAAACCCTCTAAAAGGTGGCTGACCCCGTGCCGAAATAGGGTAGCTGTTGGTACCCCTTTTAAGGGTCCTTTGTTTTGGAGTTGCTATTTTGGTGTTGCTTCCCAAGTTCCATTGATGGCTCAAGGCTCAAGACACAATTGAGGTTCAAGATCCGATGTGTGACTGCGCATATACGTGACGGGCATTAAGAGCAAAACAACTGCTTGCGTTGCATTCGTCAGGACCACTGTCGTAACTATCATTCCTTCTTCCTTACAACGTTTACACGGGTTCGGCTATAACGGCATCGTCCGTATACACCTTTCTACGTGGTTGGTATTGAAGCTTGAGGGTTCGGTGCACAGCGTCCCACGGGACGTCACCTTGCCGTCTCTTGACAGATACATTCACATCATTCACCTCACGGGTACACCGCGTGACTGCAGCAAAGAGAGCGCTTCCTTCAGCCAGGCTCCTCCGCCACTTCAGTCTGCCAGAGACTGATTATTTTTCCATGTCCATTAGGGGAACAGCAAATATTGACTTCGTGCTGAAACCCCTTCCCGCATGAATCTGCTGCTGGCTCCCTGTGCAAGGCCAACTCTCGGCGCAAACATCGCGTCAAGGGGAAAAAGGCGGAACGGCGGTCGAGATGAGTGCAGTTTCCCTCCAAGCTTGGCTTCACGGTAGCGCCGCGCAGCCACTATAAGAGCTGAGATCCTTTGCTGCCGCTTAAGCTGCCCACAGGGGCATGTGTTGTAACAATAGCTGCTCCGGTCTGAGCCAAAGCCAGTCGCAAGCTGAATACGGCGTTGTAGCTGGAGGGCTGGACGCATCTCACCATTAGCTCCTCAATGTGAATTGCCAGTACCAAAGAGGAAAAGCGCAAAAAGTTCTTCGACCCGAAGGACGTGTTGGACAGCTGGTCATAGGAGGATCCTCTGTTGTGGTGCCCTCGTGCCCTTGACACGTGTTTACATCAGGAGATTGCAGGCCCTTGCGGGCTGTGGCTGGGGGACTGAAGGGAGGCAGCCTCAACGACTATGCGAGACTTCAGCAATTGGAGCCAATGGTGCAAGCTGCTTTACCAGGGCTTTTCACCCAAGTTGGCCACGCAGCTTGCAGAGGCCATGTGCCCCTCTGGGCCAACCAAGCTGATTTGCTCGAACGTGCTGCAGGTATGGAGATACCATGGCCCGCCAGGCCACATCAAGACTTTGGGGAACCAAAGTCTGCAAACCTCCCAAAGCATTCAGATGTCTCCTTGGAGTGGGCTGGAACCATCGACTGACGCTAGGTCGCTTGGGCTTCGCTCTGGGGTCCTGTGCACAGTCTTCGTGCACGCCTGTTTCGCTTTGCTTGACCTGAGATTTACGGATCACGTCAAGACCGCCGAAGCGCGCGGCCATGAGGTCCACTTTCAATCCTCGGCACGGACATTCAGGCACCTTCTCCTGATCGTGGAGGTCTCACTGCACTTCTGTGCCTCCACATGACACTTCTCACAGCGGCTGACTTGGATGGCGCGGGCCATCAGACGCTGACATGGATTGCGAGAGCAGTGGTGTGCCAGCATCTTCGGCTGCTCGAGTTCGCCTCGGGTGGCTTCGTGGCGATGTCGCAACTTCCGGGCCGAGCACCTGAAGCAGGGATCCAAGGGATCATCCACACCCTTGTTTTTGCAAGCGCCTCAAACGCCCTTGCCTCAACCCCAGTGAAGCCTTCGGCTTCCTTGTTGCTAAGTTTGCTATTTGGGTGATTTGGCGTTTTTGGCAAGAATCCTCCCACGTTCAAGTTGATGAATTGGCTCGGCCGGTCTCCCCACAGTTCCCAGCTGAGTTTGTCCCAGAGGGCTTAGCCAAACCCAGGCGGAGAAGCTGGTGGCGAAACTGCAGCTGCAGCATAGACTAAAAAGGCAGCTGTGAGTTGCTGCATACCTCACCCAACGGTGGATGTTCTGCTTCTCAACTAATCCTTTCAGATTGACAGAGTGACAGAGGGTCAGGCCAAATCGCACTGTAGGTTTTGATGGTGCCACATGGTTCAGCAGGCTGCTCCAAGTGCAAAGATGGATGGTTTGCTCAAGCTTTTTTTAGAAACAGGATTCGAGGCATGCACAGGTCGCCTGGATGCAATGGCTTCCGCACAACAATGACACAGAATGGCGTCTAGCAATGGAAAGCAAACCACAATTGTCCTTTCGGATTGCTTCGGATTGCATGCTCAAACGACTCAAACGACTGGATTCCCAAGTGGCACAAACAAGTCATTGCTTCACAAGGAATTAGAGGCACAGCCACTTCCAGACGCCCCGGCGTGTTCCGTCAGCATGAAGGGTGCTGCCTGCGTACCTTAATAGACATCATCCTGTGGACAGAGGTACATTTCTGGTCACTCTTTCGGCTATGAGAAACAAAGAAAAATATGATTCATCCCCACAGCATGATTCATCCCCACAGCACGCAGAGATCCGCTGGAACATCGCAGTTTGTTAACACAGTTGTACCTTTCAAATCGGTAGTTTGAGTATCCCATTGTGGCGTGACAAGCTTGGATCGCTGAAGCACATTCCCTTCAGCTAAGGCAAACCATGGCGACCTCGCCAGACATTCTTGTCCACTCACAAAAATCCACCTGGTTTGTCATGCATGGAGTCAACTTAGACTCTTCCCCACAACCAGCAACCAACCACAGTGGGTAAACGCCTGTCCCTCGTTGGATTAAGTTTTCGCCTGGATGGGGAAATGCGGGACTAGGACGATGACAATGCGTGCTGGTTCCAATAGATTGTCTTGATCAGGGCACTTCCCGACGCAGAACATGGCCCTGTACGAGCTGCTGCTCCGACAACTGCAGGAGCACGCGGGACAATGTGGGCCGTGGCGAAATCACACGGTTTGTTCCAGGTTTTGTCCACGTGGCTGGTCATGAACCTGTTCGCGAGGGCTTTTGGATCCTTGTCGCTGCAAGAATCCCTGTTCAGGGAACAACGACTGCAAACTAGGAGTTGGGCAGCCCGAAAACCTGTGGGCCTGTTCCAAAAACGGTCCCAGACAGACCCTTTTACACATAGGCCCAAAACCCGAAATGTCTCAAACCCAGCACTCCTTTCGGTTTGGTTCGTCAAGGTACACCTGGCTCCAACGGAAGCCCACCAACATCCGCTCACCCTGGCTGCGAGGTGCACGAGCCTTCGCCCAAGACGGAGGGCCGACAGCTCATGGAGAAAGCGCCTGCTGAGCGGCCGTGCCTCAAAAGGGGCGGGTGCCAAAGGGAAACTTGGGAGGTAACGGGGCAATGCGGCAAGACCCACAGCCGGGAGCTACAGGAGGCCGAGCTGAAGCTTCAGTCGCTCAAAGCCAAACAGGCCGCAAGCTGAGTTGGCAACAGGAAGCCACCAGAGCCCGAACCAAGGATGTGACGAACTTGCCACCAAAATAAAAACGCCACCTGACAGGACCATTCTGGAGAGGCCTATGGCTGAAGACCAGAAGGCCCATGACCCAGTTGCCTGTCTCTGGTGGTGCATCCAGCCACGTCCAAGGACACTTCAGAGGCTGGGTCCAGTTTTATGCCTCAGGCCATGAAGCAGCTATATCTGTTAGGATATTCTTTAGGATCGCATCCTCAGGTATTGCGTACCAGTGAGGACTCAATGAGTTTCCAGCACGCCTTTTGTATCACATGCTGCACATCCAGGAGACTTAGTGAAGACGCCAATGGATCTGAATACCGAGTTCGGGTCTTGTGGCATGTTGTTTGCAGGTCAAGCAGTTCGTGCGCTTGTTAACATTTTGCTGTGTTGACCGAGGCTCGGATTCACCGACGGCCTTGTAGAGTTCACATCTATTTCTCTGACACTGGAGGTGGTCACCGGGCATCAGCTCTTTTTCATGGAGGCACTTCGAGTAATGCGTTGGCCTTGCAACATCTGGCCGTGACAGGCTGCTTTTGCAGCGGCAGTATGGCAACCAGGCTCATTTGCACAGGGTGCAGCGTGCCTTCCATTTCCCATGACGATTTGCTCGACAGGTGTCCATAGAGCTTGTCGATTTCATGCGGACAGCCATGCCTTGGCCACTGCGGGTGTCTTACAAAAGCCCCAGCTGGGCTTTTCTGTGAGCCCTTCTTCAGGTCCCAGGCGCCCGAAACATACTAGGCGAGAAGAGGCTTGACAGCAACACTTGGCGAGACACCAGAAGTTGCTTGCTTGGTCTCACATTCTGGACTTGCAGGCCACGCAGGTGATCAGATGATGTGGAGTTACAGCAAGGAGCAGGATACCTAGTCATTTGCAAATAGCTGACTGAGCTCGAAAACCGATTCATGTTGACTCTTGCAGGTCCATTCTGAAATACTTCCAACATTGGGCCTGCGAGTTGGATCTCATCATCTCTGCCCATCCTTTGCCATTTGGCCCTTGGTCCTGCGCAATGAGCATGCTTCCTCTTCGAGAGAGAACTCTTCGGCATGGGCTCTCATTGGAGGCACTGCATTTCCTTCGTGAATGTCATCGAAGGAAGTTTAGAAGGAACTTCCGTGTTACGGCAACTAATTGAAAGCTAGCTCTCTGAGACAAATGACAAGAGAAGGAATAAGCCCCCGAGCAAAAAATGCGCGCGCGTGTGGCAGGGGAAGAGAAAGTCGCAAAAAGCGTGGCCCTGTGCGTGAATCGGAGATGAGAAAGTCGCCAAAAGCGTGGACCTGTGCGTGAATTGGCGTCTCCGGAGATGCGAAAGCGGAGCGGGGTCGGAGCGGGCTCGGAGCGGGCTCGGAGCATGCTCGGCGCCAGGCCCATTGGCACGGCAACGCAGAGGTTTCGCAAGGTCTGAATTGCGTGGCAGGCGCAGCAGTTTGGCAAGGTCGGGTGCAGATTTCGCGGCAGGCGCAGCACTTTTGCAGAGTCAAGTTTTCCCAAGGTTGGAATCGCGTGGCAGGCGCAGCACTTGCGAAAGGTCAGGTGCACTTTTCGTGGCAGGCGCAACACTTTCGCAATGTCAAGTACAGATTTCGTGGCAGGCGCAGCACTTTCGCAAGGTCAAGTACAGATTTCGTGGCAGGCGCAGCACTTTCGCAAGGTCAAGTGCACAATTCGTGGCAGGCGCAGCACTTTCGCAAGTTTAGGTACAGATAGATATATAAAAAGAGAGATAGATAGATAGATAGATAGATAGATAAAGAGAGAGAGAGAGAGAGAGAGAGGTAGAGATAGATAGATAGATAGATCAGGGTGGCCACGGTTAGGTTCGGTTCGGTTCGGTTTCTGCAACCTTTTGAAAACCTTTCTCCGGTTAGTGGCGGTTACTCATAACCTTCCAAAACCTGCCGGTTTGCACGGTTAGTGCAGAAAAGTAAGATAAGGCTCTAGGTAACTCAGTCTGCTTTCGCCCACACTTCGCCAACTTCCACATCTCTGGCATCGTCATCCATCTGACATCGCCATCCCACACCACACACACAGACACAATTACACACACACAAAAACAAACAAACAAACAAACAAACAACCAACAACCAACCAACCAAAAGCAAGCAAGCAAGCAAGCAAACAAACAAGCAAACAAACTCACAAACACAAAAACAAACAAACGAACCATGCCACTGACCGATGCTGAGCATGTTTTTCCGCGCACGTGGCCTTGGGAAGCATCTCAGAAGTCAAAGCTCAAAAGCGAAAAAAAACAAGTCACTGACCGCTGATGGGTCACTTTTTTTTCTTGCCAAATTTCAGCGGTGTTTCGTGTGTTGCGAGCACTGTGGAAGCAACAATCAGAACCAGAAGCGGCCAATAATGCGGGTTTCTTGCCTTGACACGTGCAGCAAGGGGCCTCAGCTGCGGTGGCCTGCTAAGCGTGCCAAAAGTTCTGGCAATCAGGCTGGTGGGGCGTTGGGGAACGGCAGGGCAGGCCAAGCCCTTACAGTGACAGCGGGCAACTCAGTTTTCCTCCCGTTCGGCCCGCGAGAAACTGTTCCAATCCAAGCCGGGCTGCGCAAAAAAAACAACCCACTGACCGTCAGTAAGTTGGTTTTTTTCGCGCTGCTGGCGCAGCCAGGCTGCAACAGGGTGCTTGGGCAATCCTGCGGGAGCAGGGGGAGTTGGTGAGACAGGTCAGGTTGATGCTCGGACATGTAGAGTCCAGGCAAAGTTTGCGAAATCCACTTGCTGCCGCTTTGGAACGTGATCCCGTGGCGGTGCTGTTGGCGACGCTGTCTGCGCCAAAGCCGTCACTGACCGCTCGTGGGCTTTTTTTTTGCGCGGTGTTTTGTGTGTTGCGAGCACTGCGGAAGCAACAATCAGAACCAGAAGCGGCCAATAATGCGGGTTTGTTGCCTTGACGCGTGCAGCAAAGGGCCCTCAGCTGCAGTGGCCTGCTAAGCGTGCCAAAAGTTCTGGCAATCAGGCTGGTGGGAACGGCAGGGCAGGCCCAGGGCAAGGCGGGAAGGCGCCGGGAGAGCAAGCCCTTACAGTGAACAGCGGGCAACTCAGTTTTCCTCCCGTTCGGCCCGCGAGAAACTGTTCCAATCCAACCCGGGCCGCGCAAAAAAAACAACCCACTGACCGTCAGTAAGTTGCTTTTTTCTCGCGCTGCTGGCGCAGCCAGGCTGCAACACGGTGCTCGGGCAATCCTGCGCGGGCAGGGGGAGCCAAAAAAAACAAGATCACTGACCGCTCGTTTGCTTACCAAATTTTAGCAGTTTCGTGTGTTGCGAGCACTGCGGAAGCAAAAATCAGAAACAGAAGCGGCCAATAATGCGGGTTTGTTGCTTTGACGCTTGCTGCCCCTGCAAACCTGGAGACGGTTCGGTTTCTGTTCGGTTCGGTTTGGTTCGGTTTGTGGTTTGTTTCCGGTTTTCTTGCGGTTTTGAAAACCGGTTCGGTTAACCGGTTTCCGGTTTGGTTTTCATCCTTCCTGATAGATAGATGGAACAGTAGATAGTTAGAAAAGAGATAGATAGATAGATAGAGAGACAGATAGAACGAGAGATAGATAGATAGATAGATAGATAGATAGAGAGATAGATAGAGAGAGAGAGAGAGAGATAGATCGATAGATAGAGAGAGAGAGAGTGAGAGAGAGATAGATAGATAGATAGATTAGATGGAAAGTAGATGGTTAGAGAGAGATAGATGAACTAGACCACGGTTGGCCCGAAAACAGAACATCGCAAGCGAGGTTGGCCCAACGCTGCAGGATGCGTTCTTTTTCCCTACACGAAGCATTCGTGAAGCAAGCGCGAGACAGCACCAGGCAAGGTGCTCTGCGCAAACTGGTCGGTGCAAGTTGGTCTGCGCAAGTTGCTCTACGCAAGTTGCACTGTGCAAGTTGCTCTGCGCAAGTTGCTCCGCGCAAGTTGCTCCGGCAAGTTGGTCCCTGCAAGTGGCTCCCTGCAAGTTGCTCTGTGCAAATTGCGCTCGCTGCAAGTTGCTCTGTGCAAGCTGCTCTATGCAAGTTGCTCTGTGCAAGTTGCTCTGCGTAAGTTGCTCTGCGCAAGTTGCTCTAGGCAAGGCGCTCTGCGCAAACTGGTCGGTGCAAGTTGGTCTGCGCAAGTTGCTCTGTGCAACTTGCTCTGCGCAAGTTGCTCTGCGCAAGTTGCTGTAAAATGCAAGTTGCATCTTGCGACGCCCGCCCGCGGACCAGGGAGGAATCGAACCCGCGACCCGCCGGTTCCGGGAGCAGGCGCGCGAACCACGAAACAACTCCCGAGGACCAGTTCAAATAACAAAAGTCGCAAAAACCTCGAGTTTTTGCACCTCCACCACGCCGATTCCCGCAGAGGGTTGCGCGAGCGCCGCAGAAATCGCAAAAAACCACGAGTTTTTGCACCTCGACCACGCCGATCCCCGCAGAGGGTTGCGCGAGCACCGCACAAAATCGCAAAAACCTCGAGTTTTGCACCTCGCCCCGCCGTCCCGCAGAGGGTCGCGAGAGCACGCAGAAAACGCAAAAATCCTCGAGTTTTTGCACCTCGCCCACGGATCCCGCAGAGGGTTTGCGCGCGCGCCGCTCGAATCGCAAAAAAATTGCGTTTTTGCACCTGACACGCCGATCCCGCAGAAAGGGTTGGCGAGCCCCGAGCAATCGCAAAAACTCATGGGTTTTTGCACCTGACCACGCCGATCCCCGCAGAGGGTTCGCGGCGGGAAACTTTAGAAATTGCAAAAAACTAGACCACGGTTGGCCCGAAAGCAGAACATCGCAAGCGAGGTCGGCCCAACGCTGCAGGATGCGTTCTTTTTCCCTACACGAAGCATTCGTGAAGCAAGCGCGAGACAGCACCAGGCAAGGTGCTCTGCGCAAACTGGCCGGTGCAAGTTGGTCTGCGCAAGTTGCTCTACGCAGGTTGCACTGTGCAAGTTGCTGGGCGCAAGTTGCTCCGCGCAAGTTGCTCCGTGCAAGTTGGTCCCTGCAAGTGGCTCCTGCCGTAGCTCCTGTGCAAAATTTTGCGCTCCCTGCAACGTTGCTGTGCAAGCTGCTCTGTGCA